TTATAGCTGGAAGAAAGTCTGTTTTTTCAAACACCCTCACTGTTACTCAAATGTCCTCTTCATGGTTTTCACTTGGTTCCCATTACTGCCTAAACAGGGCTTGAAAACTACTGTTGCCTTTGCAGGGCGACAATGGGATGGACAGACATCAGCTCAGGACCTGAAACTGCTTTGGTATGTCAGACACGATGGATGTTCCCATCAACCCTGCTCCCTCAGCACTTTCAGGTTCTTCTTAAAAGACCAGAGTGCTTTTCCCCCATGCAAAGTACCAGGATTAGCAGATTTTAAGGGCTAGGGAGATCTAATCTCCTACAAAACATCTACTTGAGAGTTTCCCCCAGCACATCTTGAGGAAACAGATGCAGCTTCTAAACAAGTAGCTACAGAGAGGCTCGAAAATGTGTTATCTGCTACAGAAACCTGATGGAAAAGACATTTGCCATGCTGAGAAAACAGAATGAGGCAGTCAAGTCAAGCATGATATGTAGTAAATATATTTTTAATACTAAAACAATATTTCAAAATAATAGCTAACAGAACACTCTTTGATTGCATTGTGCTTTTCAGCACTGGGTTGCTGGAAAAGAAAACTGGTTTCCTATTGCTGTCCCAAATCTGTGGCCATAAAAATAACATTTGTTGCAAAATGGCTTTTTCCGATTTTTCACGTTGTGTCATTAAAGTCACCCATATGCAAGACATACATACCCTCTTTACACTAAGATATTTTTAATTCTCTTCCTTTAGAAACCTCTTCCTTCCTCCCTCATCCCCTGCAACACAGGGCATTCCCGCATGGATAGCACCAGATTTTGCTATCTCCTATGACAGCTGCAAGATTTAACACTGGAGACACTTTGAAGAGGAGGCGATGAGTATTCTCTCTGCTCTGTGCTGCCAAAACCTCACGTTTATTCTTAAAGAAAAATGGATTTGAAAACAGTCATGACTGGACAGGTGAAACACCTCTCTTCTGCTCCTTCAGCTTCTCCCATCAGTGCCTTTTATCAAGCCCCCAGAACACTCCATGGCTCCAATTTCCCTACTCTTAAATTGCCACCTGTAGTTTTAGGCTAACACTACTTACACTCCTACGAATAAGTCCAGATCAACCACTAAAAGGACCATTTGTAGCAATGCTAGCACACACAATTGCAGCTGTTTCTACAAGCTACCTCGTAACATCTGCCCTACAAAGTTTAATCCACACAGTTTGCTTTGCCAGGTCCAGCCTTTGATATTATTTTGATAGTCAAAACACTGCAGAAAAGTTGTTTGGAAGGGATCTCTAGGGGTCGTACAATCCATCCTCACCTTCCTTGATGCAGGACTATCACCAATACTGGATAAGGTCAGCTGGGACCTTACCTAGCCAAGTCCTGAACACTGGGATGGCAGAGCACACTGTCTCTGCACACCTTGTTCCCATGCAGCATGAACTGCCTACACAAGAAGGTTTCTCCAAATCTCTGGTCTGAACCTACCAAGCCACAGCCCATGACTCTTGCCCCATGTGCCATCTGCCACAAGCAGGAGTAGATTAGCTCCTTCATCCCTACAAGAAGCTGGGATGGGTTTACATGCAAATTGATGCTACTAAAGGTGGGTGAGCCTTGAAGATATTAATCTGTTAACTGAAAATAAATTTTTTTTCTTTCCAGAATAAATGCATTCTAACTCTTCTTCACTCCAGTACAGCATGTTACCCTGGTCTCCAGACCAAGTCTCCAAGAACACCTTTCACTATAATAGAAGTATTCAGAAAACCAGAATACAGGAATCACCACCATATCACCCCCTCCACTCTCCCAAATAGCTTCCTGATAGAATTAGCTGGCTTTCAGGTTTTTTGTCATTGCCCACTTTCAAGCAGTCCTGCCCTACTCTCTTCTCCAGGTTCACAGTGGAGGGCTCCAGTTTGCCCAGCAGCATTGTTTCCATATGCAGTTATTTGTTACTTATCAGAGTGAGGTGCTCCCAATTTGAGGACACATGAATAAGTTTCCAGAAGAAAAGGAGGACCCCAAGAAAAGCAAAATAAGAGCAGATTCAGTTATCTTTTTCCAGACTGGGATGGTTTTTCTATTAGTCATTTGGTATGTGGGTTTGGCATCTTCAAAGCTGCGTGCAATCTTTTAACTGGGTAACTCTAGTGATTCAAACGCATCCCAGATGAACTCTAAACTGGAGCAGCTTGTGCAGTTCCTAAGCTTGTAAGAGTGACCTCAGCAATCAATTCTCTTGATGATAATTGTAATCTGAGCTAACTTCCTATGCCCACATATGCTCTAACAGGCACACATTTGAAAGTGTAAAAGACAGACAAAACTATACATTACAATATATAGCTCTCTGCACAGCTTTTAGCTCCAACATGCTACAAATTAATCAAAAAGTGTGTAAGAAAAGCCAGATCAAGTCAGCCCATCTAGCAGAGAGCCCTGTATCCAACCATGTCTAAACGCAAGAGGCCTATGGACGAACAAGGCAAGCACAGAGTGTTATTTTACTGAGATATTTCTGTAGCTTCCAGCATTCATATTTGCCATTTCTCTACCATGTAAACTCTCAGCATTTACAACATCCCCAACAGTAAAATCCACAGATTAACCACATGCTTCATGAAAACATACCTTCTTGTTTGTTCTTTTCATTGCTGAATAGCTTGGGATGATTAGGAAACTTTATCACCTTGCTCTTAATTTCTAGCACATTATTTCCTTGATTATTTATGAACATGCTGAATACCACTGGTCCCAGCACAGGCACTTGTGGAGGTTCCTCCACTGGGAAATTACTTGCTCCTTCTCTCTGTTGACTACCTTTTAATTAGGCAGTAATGCTCAGGCACCTTTCCTCAGACCTGGGCAACTTACTTTGTGAACCTCTGGTGAGAAATCTTAATGATAGTCTTTTGCAAGCCCAGGCAGATGATCTCAAGCAGATCACCCTATCCACATGTCCAGTGACATCTTCAAAGAGTTGCAGTGGATCTGAGGGACAGCACTTACCGCTGCCTTCCCATAAACATCCTGTTTATTTCAATCCAATGTATCTGTGTGTCATTAATTGCACTC